GCAGTCTGGGAACTGCTGGAAAGTTACACAGGTTTAGTTACTGCATGCTCACGTGGGTAATACAAACCCCAGGTAAGGACTGCAGGAGTCCCAGGGTAGTGCAGTGACAACAAGGAGCTGGCACTTGTGTCCCCAAAAGCAGCGAATTGATGGAACAACTGTAGAGACTGCTTACAGCGATAGCTGAATGAAGAGAAGCAGCCCAGTGTTAATGCTGTCGAGGTGCTTTAAGGGCCATAGCAGCTGCTTGCTCGTGGTACCTTACAGGGAAAAAGATGAAGAAAAGAAAAAGGCCAGTTTTCCTTGGGTGCTCCAGCGCAAGAGGGACAAGAAGCTGTGGATTTAGTGGGTTACCTCTGGGGATGAAGGGTGGTCACGTTCCTGTACTTCTTTCACAGTGTGCTCACCATAGCCTTGACCTGTGTTTTTGCCAGTTGGTTGGCCCCTTCTGGGGGGTGAAGGGAAACCTTGGATTTTACCAAGAGTCTAGTATGGTATGCAGAAACAGCAAGCTTACTGACAACTGACTGAGTTGGGTACTGAGGCGAGATCTGTTCTCCACCCGTGCTGTGTTCAGACCTAGGCTCCTGCTCCAGGACAGTCATTGAGGTGCTGGAGTGGGGCCAGAGAAGGGCAACGGAGCTGGTGAAGGGCCTAGAGCACAAGTGTGGTGAGGAACGGCTGAGGGAATTGCGGGGCCTTAGTCTGGAGAAGAGAAGGCTCAGGGAGGAACTTATTGCTCTCTACAGCTGCCTGAGAGGAGGCTGGTGCCAGGAGATGCCTGGTCTCCTCTCCCAAGGAATAAGGGATAGAATGAGAAGAAATGGCCTCAAGCTGAGGAGGGGAGGTACTCCTACTGAGCCTGCTGTCAACCAGCACCCCCAGCTCCCTTTCTGCAAGGCTCGTCTCCAGCTGCTCCTCTCCCCATTTGTGCTTCTAGATGATGTTTTTCTGTGTCCATTGGTGTCTCTGCCAGGTCTTGCCTAAAGCGCCTGCAACTGTTCTTTGGACAAGATTTACTGGAAGGTGCCAACTCCGGAAATCTGGCACTGGGCATTATTTCTTCTGGGTCATCCCCTCTAGCTTAGGACAGAAAGTGGTGAGTCAGGAATGCGAGCCTTGGAGAGGGCTGTATTGAAGAGGACAATCATTACGGATAGGTAATGTTCTCTCTTCTCCTCTTGTAGGTTTGGAAGAACATTGTTCTCCGGCAGTGAGTGATCTGCACTTTTGAACAAGGTGCTACCTGAAGGAGTAAAAGGAATCGATAGTTATTGCTTCCTTGCAATTCCTTTTTGTACTTGAACCTCTTCCTTTCTCTGGGTTTTTGACTGAGAAAGACCCCTGGAAGCCCACGGCAGTTCAGTGTCCCAGGATGTGGAAGATGCCCGTGGATAAAGAGGCAGGCCAAGCGAGCAGAGAAGGCACCAGGTGAGGGCCGGGGCAGGAGAGAGAGGCTGGTGGTGGGACAGGGCCGCTCAGAGCTGCCTCAGTGCCAGGGCCAGGCACTGCTTTTAAGCTCCTGAAGAATTAGAAGATCTTGTAGGCCTGTCTTCCAATCCTGCAGTCATTGATTTCACTCTGGTTGACTTTGATGAGGTAAGGTGTGAATGGCACATTTACCTGAACCTGGTAGTCAAATAGGTTTTCTGTCTTGCTTCCGGATAGAATCCATCCTTAAGGAAAGATTTGAAATTCAAAGTTGTCAGTGCACCTGTTTACCCAGCCTAGAGGTGATTGTATGCGTTTTTGTAGAGTAGACATGATGAGAAATGCATTTCGTGTATGACATTCTCTCAGGAGCAGACCCCTCATTCACTGAGTGTTAGCCCAAGGCTCAGAGAAAGTCTGGCATACTCATTGTCGTGGTTTAAAACCAGTCAGGCAGCTCATTCACTCACTCCCCCCCTTCTTTTCCTCCCCCTACTCCCGGAGGGATGGAAAGGAGAACTGAAAAGAATGCAACTCCCACGGGTTGAGATAAGAACAGTTTTGTAACTAAGTATAACAAATCACTGCTGCTACCACCAGTAATAATAATGATAAGAGAAATAACAAGGGAAGAGAATACAACACCTCAGCACCAGCTGACCGATAACTCTCCCCACCCCACCTGACCAAGCACTGACTGATACCTCCTCCAACTCCGCAGTCCTCTAACCCATCCAGGTAACTCTCAGTTACATCCCCGCGCATGACGTGCTGTGGTATGGAATACCTCTTTGGCTAGTTTGGGTCAGGTGTCCTGTCTCTGCTTCCTCCCAGCTTCCCCTCCTCCCTGGCAGAGCATGAGGCTCAGAAAGTCCTTGGCCAGGCTAAAACATTTGAACGGTAACTAAAAACATCGGTGTTATCAGCACTGTTCCCAGGCCGAAAGTGAAAAACACAGCACTGTACCAGCTACCAAGAAGGAGAAAACTAACTGCTACTGCTGAACCCAGGACACTCATCATGGTGCTGCCATGAATGAACTCTACTGGTAAGTACTGAGCTTGAGGGATCTGGAAGACTGAATGCCAGGGCACTGAAGAATTCAATGAAATGTGTATTGGACCTATCTTTGAAGATCTGTATGGTAAAAGTAAATGGAGGTCGTGAATGCAGATGTAAAACGTAGGGTTGATTCTGAATCCAAATAGGGAGTACTGAAAGTGGGGAGGAGGGAGGAGCATGTTCTGGTGGTTCATAACATTAATTGTTGACATTGCTTAGCTGATGTGTTGTTTGTACGTGACACCAGGTGGGCACACCAAAGTCTAATTGTGTTTTCTCTCCCTTCCCATATGATCTGATGGAAGACTGATGCAGAAGGTGACTTGATGCAATTGATAATGGGATTGTCCTAAACTTAATCTTTTTTTGGGGGGGTGTGTTTTTGCATGAACTCGAGCAGCATGGATTGAAGCTGCCTTTTCCCAAAGGCAAAGGACAGTACTTAGTAATCTGGGGACTGGATCCAATCTATGCTTGATAGTCACTCTCAGAGCTTGTAGAGACTATCTGAAAGCAAAGCTGTGCAAAGTCTGATTTTATTTTCCTAATTCACAAGTTCTTTACCACTGGAATATCTGAATATGAAATATTCCAGAAGATTATTTTTAGCATGTATTGCAGTGAGGAAAATAGATGTAGTTACAGACACTACAGAATCCTGCACTTTAAGGAATGTTCCAGAGCTATATATTTTACACTCTTTCTAACTTAGGAAAATTCTGTCCTTCTGGCAGTGCAACTTGCAGAAGTGGCAGGAAGTTTTATTCCCCTGCAATCTCTGATTTTGATTCTCACATTCTGTGTTTAAGCTCCTGAAGAAGTAGATTCCTCCTCAAGTGAATCTTCTTTATCTGATATCCTTGCTCCCACTCAGGATGATTCTGATGAGGTAAGGAGTGATTGGCACACTTACCTAAACCTTGTAGTCAAATCTAATTGATTTCTGTTGTGCTTCCTGAGGGAATGCATCGTTAAAGATGGATTTTACATTCAATGTTGAGTTGTCAGTGCATCACTTTAAGCAGTCCAGAGGTGATCATATGCCTCTATATAGAGTAGACATGATGATAAATACATTTCAAGTACAACATTCCTAAGGATGTAGACGCTCTTTTTCACTAAGTAAAGTAGTACATACAGGGTCTGTATGACTCAGTCTCTAGGACTACTCCTAAAGGCCTTAAAAAATCTTTTTTTACATTTACTGCTCTTTTTGCAGCTAGAATAACACTTGATCCATTTGATACTGTAGTTTTTAACATCACTTTTATGATGCCACTGCTAGCTTGCAAAACAGAAGCAAGCAGCAGGAATCACATGGGGTGGTACCACATCCAGGGCTTCTTCCTGAGCCTTTGCAAAGGAAAGGCCTCAGACTTTACACAAATATTTGCATAGCCCAGGTTTAGTTCCAGCAGGCACCATCGTGGGCTTTGGGGTTGTGTGTTTTTTTTCTTGATCAGCTGTTGGTCTGATAGGAAGTGTTTCTGGATATCACACCTGAATTGGCCTGTTTGAGGGAGAAATGGGGAAAGAATCTCTTCCAGCCTAAATCCAATTAGGGGATTCTGAAGCTGGGGGGGGCGGGAGGAGGCTGTTATTCTTGGTCATAAGCTGCCTTCATTTCCACCCCTTTGCAGCAGCATGAGCAAAAGCAGAAGCAACCACGTTTTCAGAGCAGCAGCTGATCTGCTACTACTTTTCATATTCTTCTGCAAAATTAGAGAGCGATATCCTACCATTCTAAGCTTTTTTGTTGACATTGCTTAGCTGATGTGGTTTGTATGTGACACTGGGGGTGCACACCGAAGTCTAATTGTAGTTTCTTTTCTCTCCCTTCCCGTATGTATTGATACCAGTTGGAGGATGAAGGTGAATTGATGTTTTACAATTGATAATGGGATTGTCCTAAACTCATGTCCTGGGGGCTGTGTTTTCCAATGAATTTGAGCAGCATGGATTGAAACTGCCTTTTCCAAAAGGCAAATGATAATGCTAAAGCATCATACAAATGGATCCAGTCTGTCCTTGATAGTCACTGTCAGAACTTGTAGGAAGTATCTGAAATCAAAGCTGTGCAAAATGTTTTCTTATGTTCCAAATGCACAAGTTCTGCAAACATAAATTTGATATTAATTTAATTATCGCTTTTACCACTGGAATTCTTGCTTTGAGTAAGAAATGGACAAAAGGGATATTTTGGCCTGTACTGTGTGACGGAATCATCTGCCACCAGTTTCAGTGGGGTTGGAACTATATGATCTTTAAGGTCCCTTCCAACCCAAACCATGCCATGATTCTATGGCTCTACGAACTAAAGAAGTTATAGACTCTAGATAATCCTGCATTTCAAGGAATGTTCCAGAGCTGTATGTTTTATGCTCTATCTACCTTAGGGAAATTTTGTTCCTCAATACAGTTCTATAGTGGCAGGACATTTTATTCCTCTGCAGCCTCTGATCTTGATTCTCACATTCTCATGTTCTTACTCTCCTGAATCAGGTGAACCTAATCCTCCTCAAGAAATGGTTGTCATTTTCATTGTTCATATTGAGGTAATTAGTGAATGGCACTCTTAGCTAAACCTTGTAGTCAAATTAGTCTTCTCTTGTGCTCCATGGTAGAATAGTATTTGATCCAATCCACAGTGCTGTGTATGACCTCAGTTTTGAGATTCCATTGCTGCCTTGCAAACCAGAAGCAAGCAGCAGGAATCATGTGGAGAGGTATTTCCTCCTGGGATTGTTCCTGAGCTTGGCAAAGGGAAGGCATTGAGCTTTATGGCAGAATCTGCATTGCCCCACCTTTAGTTCCATCAGAGACCGTAGTGGGCTTGGTTTTCTTGTTGTTTTTTTCAGCACCTTTTAGTCTGATAGGCGTGTTTCTTGATATCAGAAAAGAAGGAATTTCTTCCAGCCTAAATCCAATTAGGGGGAGAAGGAAAGATGGTGTTCAGGGGCTTCTTTAGCTGCCTCCATTTCTATCCTTTTGCGGCATCTTGAGCAAAACCAGAAGCAACAGCTAGTTTCCAGAGTAGCAGCTAATCTACTACTACTTCTAAAATTCTTCATCAAAATGAGAGAATGATACCCTGCCCTTCTCAGCTGCTGTTGTTGTCAGCACTTAGCTAATGTTTTGATCTTTAAGGTATGTAACACCGGTGCGCACACCAAGTCTAACTGTATTTTCTTCTCTCTCACTTCCCATATGTCCTGGGTTCAGCAGTAGCAGTCATGTTTCTCCTTCGTGGTAGCTGGTGCAGTGCTGTGTTTTGACTTCCAGCCTGGGAACAGTGCTGGTGATACCGATGTTTTCGGTTGTTGCTAAGTGATGTTTACCCTGACCGAGGACTTTGTGAGGCTCATGCTCTGCCAGGGAGGAGGGGAAGCCGGGAGGAAGCAGAGACGGGGCGCCTGACCCAGGCTAGCCAGGGAGGTATTCCATACCACAGCACGTCATGGCCGGGGTGGGGGGTAACTGGGAGTTACCCGGAAGGACACGGGCTTCTGGGTGGGACTTGTTTCTTGGCCGGTGGTATCGTATTCTCTTCCCTTGTTATTTTCTCTTATCATTGTTGTCGGTGGTGGTAGCGGTGGTGATTTGTGTTGTACATTGGTTGCTGGACTGTTCTTGTCTCAACCCGTGGGAGTTGCACTCTTTCGATCCTCCTCCCCATTCCTCTGGGAGCAGGGAAGGGGAGACCCCCGGGGGGGGGGGGCCTCGATTGCTCTCAGCCCGGCACCACTCACTGGGAGTGAGTGAACATGCTGTCTGGCTAGGGCTTAAACCATGACACCATATATACCGGAAGAGGCCTGCTGAAGGTAAGCTGACGTTTTACAATTGCTAATGATTTTTCCTCAACTTTTTTTTGTTTTGGTTTTGTTTTTTTCCAATGAACATGAGCAGCATGGATTGAAACTGCTTTTCCAAAAGGCAGAGGACAGTGCTAAAATATCTGGACAGTGTCTTTCAGAATGGATCTATTCTGTACTTTACAGTCACTATCAGAGCTTGCAGGATGTATCTGAAATAAAATGCATCAAAGCTGCTCAAAATATGTTTTCTTGTTTTCCAAATACAGAAAGTCTGTAAGGACAAAGTCACTTGTAATCATCACTTTTAGCACTGGAATTCACCTGCTTTGAATAAGAAAATGTTGAAAGAGGGGTTTATCCTTTATTGCAGTGGAGTTCCTGCAGTGTAGGACATGTTGAAAGCTATTCATAACCACACAATTCAGGATAGTTCCAGGGCTATAGATTTTATACTGTATCTAACTTGCTGTCATTAAATTACAGAGAACCAGCAAGAAGGGGGAAATTCTGGACCAAGAGTCCAGCAACAGTCGGATATCACTGTTCCAGCTAGAGGTGATCCAGATGAGTCAAGATGTAATGATATGTATGTAACAGCTAATGTGTCTCTCTAAATTCTGATTTTTTCCAAGCTTTTGGGTTATGTTTGATTACCATGTGAATTTCAGTCATAAAATCTATTTGCATTTCTTGAATAGAACTTCTTTTTTTTAAAACCCAACAAAACCGAACACAAGGTTTTCTTCTATTGTTCATCAACTCAGGATCTAATATATTTTACAGTATGGCTTGACGTATGTTGAAATGCTTGTAATACCTGAAGGACACACCCAAAATATCTGAAAACCTGCTTCTTATCGTGACAGATTTGATAAGGAAAGAGTTCGTGGAATGAACGGTTTCCAAAGGACAGCTAGATGCTTTTGTCACAAACCCCTTATTTCTGACCTGTTGAAGATTAATGCTGTCATACCTGTGCTGCGCTGTGCTACAGACTGCTGTTACTTGTAACAGTAGAGCAGGGGGACTGACTACATCATCCCCCGTAATGAGAAGCAAGACCCTGTTTCCTTTAGGGAAGGGTCATCCTAACTGCTTATTACATGCAACAAATGAAGAGAGTGAAAGGTACACAGGGACCTTCAGATGAAATGCATCATGGCCAATCTGTGCAGTTGGGGGATGATATGACATTATAGGAACCTGTTACCCTCAATGCACAGTGACATTAATGGATGTGTGTTCTTTCTGCTTTTGTTCTCTTTACCACAAGGCCACCTGGTACCATTAGATGTCTGATCTACATGGATTTCTACTTGGCGGTAAGGATCTGCATTTTGTCGTGGCTTCTTTTTTGTCAGAGGGAGAACAGGGTGCGGGGTGAGCCGAGCCTCTCTGCTGGGTGATGTGGGATGCTGCAGACAGCTGGTTTGAGGTACAGACCTCACTGTGAAGGTCAAGCTGGCTTGCAAGTCAAAGTCATTTCTTGGTGGTCAACACAGTGCCAGAAACACTTCCCAAGGGGGCACTGAAAGACCTTTGGGTTCCTTTAATCAGTAATGTACTGATCCCAGGCACCCAAGTCCTCTCTTCCTGGTGCCAATAGACCAGCAAAGCATAATTCTTCACACCAAATTCCTCTTGTGCTGTTTTTTCTTCCAGATTGTGCAAAACGGATGACATCTTGTGGCAACCATATGCGGCCACGTCTTCTGCAACCACTGTCTTTATTATTCCCTTATGAATGCCAACACTTGCCCAACCTGCAAGACAGAGCTTGGTGATGGAGACTATCATCGCCTATATATATGAGTTTATTTATGTTTTATTGTTCCAAATAAAAATAGTTGTGTTTTTGCAAATCAGTGACTTTTTGCAAATCTAGAGAGCTTTCTTATGTTCCAAGTGGCTTCTTGTAGTGTCCATGGTTAGAATGTTAAAGTTAGGACTGGCTCTATATTAGATCAGTAGAAGAAAATATCTGTTGGGAAGGTCAGTATTTCCTTCAGCTTTTCCTTCTGCTCCCACAGATCTAAAACTTGGCTCCAGAGCCGCCCTTCCCCAGCCTATTTTTGGGCCGTCACTCCACCACTTCTTGAAGTGATGCATGTCTGGGCAACAAACCCCTTACAATACACCTCCCATTGTCATCCTCTGAGCAAACTGCTTCAAGTTCTGTATTGAACTAAAGTCATGTTCCTTATTAATCTTGCCTATTCACAGCCAATACTGAATTGTGAGCATTTCTGCAGCTCTTGGTATCCAGTCCAGCACCAATTCTGGCTTGTCCATGGATGTTTAATAAGATTTCCATCCTGTTCTCCATCCTGCTGTCCAGAAATCAAGTTACACAATGTACTGTTGCACCCTGCAGTTGTGGTCATCGCTGCCTAAACCAGCAGTGCAGGCTTAATACGTCAGAAGTTTCCAGAGTGCCTGCCAATAGCCAGCAGCAGATTATGTGCACTGAATTTTTATGTGCACTGGTCCTTCTCTGGAGGAAAGTGATAAGAGGCTTCCCCAGAGCTTTTCTCCAGAAACACTCAGTTCGTGATGGGACAAAAGCCAGCCAGCCATCACGCTTGTGTTTCTGTTCTGCCCCCGAGTTCCACATAAAGCAATAGGAGAGAACCAGGACTCCAGAGGCATGCTTCACACAGAAAACCTTCTTACAGTATTTCACAAGGTAAAAGAATGCTTAACTCACTGTATGGTAACCTGGACCAGAAAGCTACGTTCAGCCTCCTCGGGGACATGAATACGTGCTTGAAGTATTGGGCTTTACCTCTGAAATTTAACAGCATTTTATAACAGATTCTTAAACACGAAGACATTTTAAAAGCCTAATTTACCATTCATTCCTGGCACAGCATGTTTGTTTTAGCACTTTTCTTACTTCAAATGTACAATCGGGATAAGGGATAACGACGCAGGAAAACAAAGGCCCACCCTCCGAAGTCGGCTCCTGCTACCAGACACCCACTGGTGCGCAACCGGCAGCGCAACCCGCAGATACGGCCGCGGAACCCGTCTTGCCCGGGCGCGTTGCCGCGGCAGAGGGGCCGCTATGGCGGCGGACCCGTGCTTCGCCGGAAGCGCTAATGCCGGGCCGGAGGCGGGAGGACGATGGAGAGGCTCCGGAAGCTTTGGAGGAGCCGCACCATGACCTTCGGGGTCCCTCTGTTGGTGAGCAGAATGGGGGGTTGTACCGGCACCGGGCAGGAGAAGCGGCGGCAGGCCCCACCCCGGCCTAGGCGAGCGGCCTCCGAGCGTGCGGTGCTCCCGCCGGTGCCTCAGGGCTGGCAGTACGCCCCGCCCCGGCCCGGCCCGCCCATGGGGCCGGTGCACTGCGGGGAAGCCCGCGTCGGTGTCAGGGGAGAGCGGGGGATGAATTTATGGTGGCAGGAGGAGGAGCGGGTTTTGAGTGAGCTGCGGGACGGTGCCGCCGCCTGCATGCTTGTGGGGAGCGGCCGGTAGGACTCTGCGGTGTGTCCTGACAGGGATGAGGAAAACGCGTCTTCGAATCATAGAAACAGCGAGGCTGGAAAAGACCTTTAGGATCATCAAGTCCAACGGTTAAGTCAGGGCTGCCAAGACCACCACTAAACCATGTCACTGAGGGCCTCATCCACACGGTTTCTGAACATTTGGAGGAACCGTGATTCTGCCACTCCCTGGGAATCCTGTTCCAATACCTGAGCAGCCTCTCTGGTGATCAGGTTTTGGTGTTTCTAGTTTAAAGCACTGCTTGCGTGTTTGTCTAACTTTCTTAAGCTTTTCAGCGGATTTCAAGCCGCAGCAGCAATCATCTGGTAATTTGTACATACAGTTAAAAGAATTTGAGTTAGAGTTGATAGGTTAGAGTTATAGTAGAACTAATAGGTGAGGCGTAACTACTTAGAATAGTTGAGGCTAGAAAAGGTCAATAAAGTCAAAGGAATAAACCAAGATTGTAAGAGATGCAGCGTAATGGATTGCACTTGCTTATCTTAAGTACCTGTGCGCATTAGAGGAAAAAATTAACAACTTGGGTGCACTTATGTATAAAAACTCCGGGAGATGGACAAAAACTGCCGCCGGGACATTGTTGTTTCTGTTTGTGCAATTCATGTCTGGTTTTCTGTATATACAGTTGGTTCACAGAAAGTAAGCAAAAAAAGAAGTGGATAAAGAGTAGGTTAAAGTAGGTTAAATTCTAACTTTTAATAATACTGCTAGAGAAATTATTGACTTTTTCCTCAAATATGAAGCAGCATGCAGCAGAAAAAATGGAGTGGCCCAAAGGACAGTGACACTTGTTGGAGTTAAAAAAGTTTAAGCCCATTTTTTTTTTTTTAAGTCATACTACAGAGGTTCTAGAGTAAGGACTTTAAAAGGATTAAAAATACATTATAAAATGTAGTTATTAGGTGCCTTTGAAATTGAAAGGTATCTTAGGTGGGATAGGTCTTGCAGAATAATAGAATCATAGAGTAGTTTGGGTTGGCAGGGACCTTCAGAGGTCATCTAGCCCAACCCTCCTGCAATGAGCAGGGACATCTTCAGCTGTGAGCTGTAATACTGTGAAAAGACAGAGATGTTATTGTAAGACACCGAAACTTGTCAAAAGTAGTGTAAAACACAGAACAGGACTCTTACAGTCTACTCAAAGTCCTCAGCTGGAGTAATTTCCCAGCATTGTGGTGCCATTGCAGAGATGACAAAGACAAGCTGTAAAGTCAGGATTAGAGAAACATGAAAGATACAGCAGGCATTCCACCTTTAAGGAATGCTTGAAGGAATTGACTTAGTTTATTTTAGAAAAGGCTGAGAAGTTCTGTACATCATATACTGAGAGTGGTGATTGCTTTCCCTATAGCTTGGGAAAGAAGTACCAAAGCAAACTAGCTTCAGAGAAGATGTAAGGAAAATACTGTTCTTCATTAGGAAAGTGCACTCGTGGTACATGCTTAGGATTTTTAAGGAGAGGTTAACAGCCGTCTGGCAGCAGAGGCATAGATTTTCTAAGTTCTTCGTCAGTGCTGGAGCTAGGACTTCAGCTTTGCAGGCTAAGGTAGACCTGTGGTTGTCTTTTTGGCCCTCCTAGTGTTTTTGTACAATCTGACAGAGGTTATAGCAGAAATCTTTGGGGCTGGTTTCTTTGACTTTGTACTACCTAATTTCATTCCATTTCTGTTACCACAGAGCTCTTTTCTCCAGAGACAATGTTATATAGAGAAATAGTCTATTATATTTCTTTCTAAGGTTTCATGTCTCCCTGCCTTAAAATTATTCTCTCCTCTGAATGCTTCAGAATGTTTCTGTGTTGCTGCCCAAAGGCTTCCCGAGGAGTAAGAAAAAGGAAACTTCATGTAATTCTTGTCAGCTTCCCAGGTGTCTATTGAACTCTGAAAGCATCTCTGAAGCTGAACAGAATTGTGCTAGAAGATAAGTTACAGCAAAAAAGACAGTGAAGCTATACACAGAATTAGAAGGAGCATGCCTTTTTAACCCTTTAAATTCTACTGAATTTATTGATAATACTGAAACCAAAGGTTTCTGTTAGATTCTTACATCCTCTGCAGCATTTCTTTTACTAGGAACTTACTGGACTTTACTCTTTAGTACTGCTGGACTTTTCATCAGTACCATATTTGATTTTTCAAAGGAAAAAAAAATCAAACGGCTTTCATGTCTTCCCTTCTTACACTGCAAATTTAGATGAAAAAATCCCTGTGCTACTTTTTCTAAGGGCTCCAAAGTTAGAGATAGTTAAAGAAATAATTCAGAGACAGGTGAGTTTCTCATTATACACACACATGCACAAATATACGTTTAAAATACTTCTTTTTAGTGTAAATTATCTTGATCCTTTTTGCTTTGTTCTTTGCTCTTAGAATATTTCAGTGAAAAAGAAATATTCTTGGTTGACCTTTAAACCTCAAACTGACAGCAGCTTTCAGAGTAAGATGTGTAAATCACAGTTTTCAGTCATACTTTTTGAGAAGATAGGTGTGTTTCTTTGTAAGCATCAACAAGACTGTAGGAGGTAAGAATGAAACCTGCAGAAAACCTTAATTTGTGATTGTTTAATTATGTAAATCTTACAGATATCTCTACATGGCATAAAACAGTAAGCATGCAGGGGAGAGTGATGTAGACTGGCATGGAATATCTTAACAGCTTGATTGCTACAGGGTGAGTAGTCCTAAAGCATTGGTAAAGATAGTAACATCTGTGTAGATGCTGGGATGAACTCCAGTGACCTTACAGATGTATGTGTAAAAACTGCTGTTGTGCTGGAAAGCTCTGCTACCTCTGTGGTAACTTAAACCATCTTTGTCATCTGTACTGACATCACCGTTTCCTATCATGATAATGGGAACTCTTTCCTTATACTGAAGCTTATCTTGCAACTCTTCAGTGTTCTTGGTTCTGTTACAGAAGAAGAGCTTCAGTCACTGTTCCTTTATATTCCTCAGGGGATCTTGAGCACCCTGGTTTAGTGGAAGGTGTCCCTGCCCATGGAAGAGGGGTTGGAGCTGGATGATCTTTAAGGTCCCTTCCAACCTTAACCATTCTATGATTCTGTGACCAGAACTGGTGAGTCTATTAATATCCTGTTGCTGCTGTGATGCTTCTATAAGATCCTGAGAGAGGAAGGCTCTTTGGTATTACAGCTAGTGGATCCAGTGTCATACACTTCTTATGAGACACTGGACATCTAAAGTTACTTCTGTAGTGCTGTTAGAATGTTTAAAGGTTGCAGGAAGTTATATTTTTAGACAAGATAAATGTATATTTTCAGACAGGTATGATATGGTGATTCTAGATCATTGAGGAAACATGTTTGGATTTTGAAATTGCAAAGCAATAC